CCCCACACACACCTCACCCCACCGCGTAGCCTGTCCATCGAGGTGCGCGGCCCCTCCCGCGACCTGCACAGCGGCAACGAGGGCGGCGTGTTCACGGAGCCGCTGGCCGACCTGTCCAAGGTGCTGGCCTCGCTGGTGGACTCCCACAACAACATCCTGGTGCCCGGATTCTACGCCAACGTGCGACCCAACATGCTGCACGCCGCCGTGCACCGCCTGGAGACCAGCCACGAGTTCAGCCTGGCCGGGTGAGCGAGGGGGGCTATGCCGCGTGGGGGCTATGTGGGTGGGGCGGGGTGGGGGGGCTATGCCGCGTGGCCTTGCTGTTGCTGTGTGTGGCAGTGCCTGCACCCAAACCGTGCGGCTGCGTGCGTCCCTCGCATCCACCACACACGCTAACACCGGCACCGGCGCCCACGCTGCCGCAGGTACAAGCAGCTGATCGGCGTGGACCAGCTGACCTCGGGGCGCACCGAGCGGGACCTGCTGACCGCGCGCTGGTGCCAGCCGTCGCTGAGGTGTGTGCGTGGTGAGGCAGTGTGTGGCGGGGCACCACTGTGCCCACCCGCTGGGGTCAGGCATCCGGCTGGCGCCCGGGGTGTTGCTACCCGCTGGTCCCGCCCTCCTCCCACCCCACACCCCACACGCATCTTCCCCCTCGCACCCTCCCTGCCCCCTGCAGCGTGGTGGATGTGAGGGTGGGCACTTCTGAGGAGCAGGCCAACGCGCACTACCGCTTCGGCCCCACGCGCTTCTCGGTCATCCCCAAGGCGCGGCGGCCCAGCCCTGCCCGCTCGCCTCCCCACCTGCGCCCCCCCCTGCGCTCCTCCTCTTGCACCCCAACACCGCACTCGCAAACACGCACGCACGCTCACACACGCCACCGCGACCAACCTCCCCCGCAGGCGGCGGTGGGCAAGGTGTCCATCCGCTTTGTGCCCGACCAGGATGCGGGGCAGCTGGTGGAGCTGCTGGGCGCGCACGTGCAGCACGAGTTTGCCAAGCTGCGCTCCCCCAACTCTGTGGCGCTGGAGGTGCACAGCACGGGGGACTGGTGGGAGGCCAGCCCAGACAGCGCCTACATGCGCATGGCGGAGCGGGCCCTGGGCAAGGAGTGGGGCGTGGAGCCGCTGCTCGTGCGGGAGGGTGAGACCCGCGCCCGGCTGGCGCCTGCAGACGCGCGTGCTGCGTGATGCGTGCTTGGGTGTGTGAGAGGGGTTGTGGGGCTTGCGGTGGGGAGGCTGCCGCGGCCGGCCCGGCCAGCGCCAGCCCCCCAAGTGCCGGGACCGCGGGGCCCAGGTCTCGACCCCGTGCCTGCCCACCACCGCAGGCGGCACCATGCCGGTGGCCAGCTCGCTGCAGAAGATGCTGGGGGCGCCCGCCCTGCTGCTGCCCATGGGGCAGGTGAGGGAGGGAGGGAGGCAGGCAGGGAGGGAGGGGTGCACCCTGGTCGCTCGCTGGCCGCACCGGCTCCAGCCGCACCATCGTCGAGCTGGTGTGAATAGCATTGGGTGCGCAGCCGGGCGCCTTTGTCTGCCAGGCCCATGCCTGCCACGGCCGCCCCCGCATGCTGGCGCCTGTGCCCCCTCCACCACCACCGCCACTCCCCCCCCCAACAGGCCAGCGACTCCCCCCACCTGGCCAACGAGCGCATCCGGCGCCTCAACCTGTTGCGCGGCAAGAATGTGGTGAAGAACCTGCTGGTGGAGGTGGGGCAGGCGGCGGCGGCGGCCCAGCAGCAGCAGCAGGCCAACGGCGGCAGCCCCGCAAACGGCAAGTGAGCCGCAGCAGGGGCGCTGGCCGCAGCCTGGTGCCCCCAGCTCCTCAGGGCAGGCAGTGGCCCGGCACATAGTGCCTGTAGCATACAACCGTTCTTATCCATGAGGGAGGCGTGGGCCTGCCCACCCCCCTCCTCAAGTGGCAGACCATTGGCTGCCGCTGCTGTACCACTCACATGCTGCTGCACAGCGCAGCCCTCTCCCTGCCTCCTGTGTCTGATACTGCTCCCGAACCCTTCACTTGCCCTTGCCTCCATTCTGAATCGGACATCAAATTTGCCTGTATGTGAGCGCGTGAGAGACCCCGCACCCCTTTGCTGCCCTCACTGCTTCTCGTGCTTACATCTCGCCCACGCTGGAGCGGCGGGTGTAAAAGATGAGGGTGGCGCAGGATTAGGCGGGTAGAAGGTGTAGGCCCTAGGTTCAAAACTCATTTGTTGGCTCTTCTCGGGGTCGGCGGCAGGTCCCCTGCTGCCTGAGAGCAGGGGGCCCGCCAGCCAGGGGCGAGGGGCAGGGCGGTAGGCAGGACATGTGCACGTGTGAGACGCGCGGTGTGGACGGGAGGGACGCTACAGGAATGGCAGAGAGGATGAAAGGCAGAGAGGATGAAAGGGGAGGAATGGGGTGGCCGGCGAGGGATCAATGGGTGGCAGCAGCACTAGGCCTTCTGTCCCGCCCGAGGGAAGGAGCAGCCAGGTTGGCAGCAGCACGGGTGGCGTGACGCCTTACTTGGTGAAGCGCCAGAGGGGTTTGTGATAATCAAAGGAAGAAAAGTGGGGCGCCAGGCGGCTTGGGCCGAGGAGCCGGTGCATGGCAGATCCACACCGCAAAAAGAGGAAAGAGTACAACGGTGGGGGGCGGGGCGGCCATCCAGGCCGCAGAAGAGCACGCAGTCGAGAGGGCGCGCCCGCTGTCACAGCGGGGCATCAAAACAACTCGCAACCGGGCGGCGCACCGGGCCGCTCGCTCTGCTGCGCCATGCCGTGTCTACTGCGCTGCTCTGGGGCAGCTTGGTGGCCGGGGCCCGCGCATGCCTGCGCGCCCCTCAGGCCTGCTGTTCGGCGTGGGTGACGTAGGCGCACACCACCGTGATGTCGTCCATCTTCCCACCCCGCAACTTGCCCAGCTCCAGCTTGCCGTCCTGTGTGGGCGGGGCGGGGCGCGGCGGGGAGGGGTGGGGGCATGAGATGGGGGGAGCCGGGCAGGCATGTGGGACCATCGGCGTGCTGCGCCCCACCACGACCCTGCACCTCGCCGCCACGCCCAGCATCGAAGCACACGGAAGGAGCGC